AAGCGAGAAAGAGAGAGTGGACGGAACATGGAAAAAGAGGAAAATATGCAAGGTAGATAGTGCAGAAAAAGAGAGGCTAAATCCGAATTAGAAGAGAAATATGTGAAAAAGAAAACGATTGAAATCGTTTAATAGTAAATAAAGAGGAGGCCGTCTGTTATGTGAATGAAATTAAATGACAAGGGACGGGGAAAAGAAAAATGAAACGCTTTTAAGCCAAAAGGGGAAATAACATGCGAGTGGGGTCTAAAAAGAAAATAAAAGAATTGAATACACAGTAAATCGAAGAATGAAGGAATGAAAGATTCTAATAAAACAAGAAAAGGACGGGGGAAAGGAAACGGTTATGAAGCGTGAGAAGAAGAAGAAGAAGAAGAAGAAGAAGAAGAAGAAGAAGAAGGAGGAGGAGGAGAAGAAGAAGAAGAAGGAGGAGGAGGAGGAAGAAGAAGAAGAAGGAGGAGGAGGAGGAGGAGAGTAGACATTACAAAGAAAATAAGCCATGTCAGGAAAACAGATAAGCCATGACAGATAAACGAGAGAAGCCTTTACAGAGAAAAGAGAGACGCAATAACAGAGAAAACGAGGAAAAGCCTTTACAGAGAAAAGAGAGAATACATGACAGGAAAACGAGAGAAGCCTTGGCAGAGAAAAGAGAGAAGCCATGACAGGAAAACAAAGAGAAATCTTTTACAGAGAAAAGAAAGAAGCCGTGAATCCGTGACAGAAAAACGAGAGAAAAGCCTTTAAAAAAAACAGACAGAAAACGAAAGAATTCATGCCAGAAAAACAAAAGAAATCTTTGCAGAGAAAAGAGAGAAGCCGTGAATCCGTGACAGAAAAACGAGAGAAGTCGTTACAGAGAAAAAAAACATGACAGATAAACGAAAGACTCCATGCCAGAAAAACGATAAAAGCCTTGGCAGAGAAAGAGAGAAGCCATGACAGAAAAACAAAAGATGCCTTGTCAGAAAAATGATAGAAGCCATGGCAGAGAAAATAAAGAAGTCATGACGGAAAAAAGAAATCCTTGTCAGAGAAAAGAGAGAAAGCATGACAGAAAAACGAGAGACGCCTTGACAGAAAAACGAGAGACGCCTTGACAGAAAAACGATAGAAGCCTTGACAGAGAAAGAGAGAAGCCATGACAGAAAAACGATAGAAGCCTTGACAGAGAAAGAGAGAAGCCATGACAGAAAAACGATAGAAGCCTTGACAGAGAAAGAGAGAAGCCATGACAGAAAAACGATAGAAGCCTTGACAGAGAAAGAGAGAAGACATGACAGAAAAACGATAGAAGCCTTGACAGAGAAAGAGAGAAGCCATGACAGAAAAACGATAGAAGCCTTGACAGAGAAAGAGAGAAGCCATGACAGAAAAAAACGATAGAAGCCTTGACAGAGAAAGAGAGAAGCCATGACAGAAAAATGATAGAAGCCCTGACAGAGAAAGAGAGAAGCCATGACAGAAAAATGATAGAAGCCTTGACAGAGAAAGAGAGAAGCCATGACAGAAAAACGATAGAAGCCTTGACAGAGAAAGAGAGAAGCCATGACAGAAAAACGATAGAAGCCTTGACAGAGAAAGAGAGAAGCCATGACAGAAAAACGATAGAAGCCTTGACAGAGAAAGAGAGAAGCCATGACAGAAAAATGATAGAAGCCTTGACAGAGAAAGAGAGAAGCCATGACAGAAAAATGATAGAAGCCTTGGCAGTGAAAAGAGAGAAGATTATGAAATTGAAAAGATTTTCTCTCGAAATAATCAATTAATTTTAAAAACGTTATTTCAAAAATTAAATAAACTGTAAATGTTCACTAATATAAATGCTATAGAGATTAATCACAGGAAATATTTAATGAAGAACTTTTCTAATAAAATAAAATAAAATAAAATAAAACGTCATTTACAGTAGACTTTCCTGCGTGTCTGTATGTCCCTTTTTGTTTTTTTTTTTTTTTTTTTTTTTTTGTAGCTGTTTTCGTTTTTCCTATTTTTTTTTTTTTTTTGGTGTTTGTTTTTTAAATAAAATTATCTACAGCCTATGATTTAAAAAACGAAATAGTTTTATTACACTTATATAACTAATAGACTGGAAGTTTTCCATTAAATACCAACATTTTAAAACTATAAAAATAAAATTACTTCTCCATTATAATCTATGACATCTGTCAGGCAAAGCTTTGAAACAATTATTTAGATTTTGAACATCACATTGCTCGTTTCATGCCAGATTAATGAATATGTATTCGATTGACTAGTTTGTTCTTAAACTTTTGTAAACACCTAGAATTTGTAAATAATTTTAATGATTTTGACAACGCTCTTCTGACTAATAAATATGATCTGTATGCTTAAATAGATCAATATTGGAATATAGAAAGAGCCGTCTTTCTAAGAAAAAAGAAAAGGAAAAAAAGAGTTGGAAGAGAAGTTAATGCACATGAGGTTGCATTAAAAGAAATTGCTTTCTTTTACTTCAAAATCGTCTGTATGATTTAGAATCTTATGCGATGATCTGCATATAGCATCTTTCAATAATCCTAGTTCTTCTGAAATGTTTACAGACCTTTGCTCCAAAGCTAATTTCTGAAATTTTATTTAATGTTCTATATATTGTATCTTTCAATAAGTCTAGTTATTTTGTAAGTTTTCTGGTTATTGGCGGTCGTGTTCTCGTCTGGCAGTATAATGATGGTCGTCCAGTCATGTCACCGTCCTTAAAAACTGCTTTTGAACAGTACGATCAGATACTGTTTGATTTCTTCCTACTTCCTAAATTCTACGTCCAATTTCATCGAGACCCAATTTAAAGAGAAATACTTCAAAATTGCCAGAATCACAATATCTGCGATTACCATGTCTGAAACAAAAAACATTACTGCATATTATTATTATTATTATTATTATTATTATTATTATCTTTTATTTCTGGTGTATACTCATTTCTTTTCTGGTCCGAAGGAGAGACCTATGGTCATAAATGGCATCATGACATTTTCCATTGATCATTGTTTGACAAAAACAAGACAAAAACAGTTACGATCACACACATTTTACATAAAGCCTTTCGTAAGGCGTGAGCTGTACTTGTGAGTACAATTTTGTGTATTTCTTTAAGGCTTCGACTACCAGGAATACATTCAGTGAGTCTATCGGAATCCTTTTCAGCCAATCTCTGGAATTGTTGATGTCGTCATGTGCCACATTTTTGAGCTTTCGATTTCAAGGTCCTTGTATCTTGATAGTTCTTTTTTAAGATCTTCAAAGATATATTGCAGTCTTCAGGGACTAGCATGTCAATAAGAAGGCACATTTTGTTTTTGCGGTTTCTAATCACGATGTCTGTACGATTACCTTTGATTTTTCTGTCTGTGTGTATCGTAAAGTTCCATGAAATTGTTACAGTTCCTATCTCTGTAATTTGGTCTGGGTAATGTTCATACAATTTTTTTGCAGCTTCTTTTCCATAAAAGGTGTAGATTTTCAAATATTATTATTATTAATAGTAGTAGTAGTAGTAGTAGTAGTAGTAGTAGTAGTAGTAGTAATAATTTTAACATCCTCTGCGATTTTCTATTGACGCAAGCAAATCGCCAGGACATTATTACCAAAGATAGAAAAGAAAAAGTTTGCACACTGTCTGATATGGGCGTACCAATTGACAAAAACATCTCTGAGAAAGTCTTTGAAAAACTAAGCAACTACAAAGACATGGAGATGAAAATAGAAAAAAAAACAGTGACACTTAAAAATTAAAACTAACGTTGTTGTAGTTCGAGCTCTGGGTCTGATAAAGAAAGGAACTCAACAACTAATTGACACAATCCCTGTTTCACTGTCTCTCCAGGAAATTTTATTTTTTACTCATAGATAAATTTACGAATTTTATTATTGAAATAGAAAATATACAGGATTTATTTTGAATTTAACGAAAATAAACTTAAATTTTTTTTAAGCATTTCACCCCAAGCAAGGCGGGAAGTCACTAGGACGCAAAGGGTTACAGAAAATTTAGAGCAAGATCAGATAGGAGTGATAGAAGAAAAGATGAGGAGAAGGGTAGTGGATAGATCAAGGCAACTGGAGATGTCGATTGACATTACACTTGAATAGCTGGAGATTATAGCTCTCAGAGAAACTGGAATAGGGAAGGGAGTTCCACAGGCGAGAGGTGCGAGACATGAAGCTATTGGAGTAGAAGAGACGGCTACATTTAGGAGTTTCGACAGTGAAGGGGGGAGAGCGGGATGCCAGCCTCGTATGGCGCTTGAACTCATGACGTCTGGGAACCAGCGAATGCAGCTCCTCGGAGCAATTTCCATGAAAAAAGTTTTGTAGAACAGACAGAGGAGGCGACGGCGCGTCTCTGAGAAAGTGACTGTAGACGAGACGCCAGAGCAGGGCCAACTACATTGCATATCCGCCTCTGGAGCCTATCAAGAACCCCGAGGCAAACAGAAGGGGCGCCAGACCATATTTAATACTAAATTCTATGGAACATTTATGCACCCGAGTAAAATAACTCATAAACCATTTTAAAATAATTAATTTTAAAGTAATTAATAAATTTAAAAAAGTGCAGATTTATTCAATAAGATAACTGTGGTTGATGCTGCTGAAGAGATTAATACTGCTCATCCTTCTTTGATATAAAATGCTTATATAATTTATATATTAAATTCTATTATTCATATTTTATGTTTTTAATATTTTTTTACGTTTTTTTTTTCAAATATTTTGTATTAATTAATTTTATAAAAATATTTTATTTTATTAATATTTAAAATTAATATAATTAAAATTAATTTATAATCATTAAACAATTTTCTTCATATATAATTCTTTCTTTAGATGTCCTTCTCTGATTTTATTCAACTTTTACAATTAAAACATCCGGTAGAGTAAAATCACTCAGTCACAAAGAAGTTCACGGCAAAGCAGGGCTGACTTATCCTTTTGATGGAAAGCCCAACCGGCCGTTAAGATCTTTTGAATTCCATATCTACTAACTTTGTTTTGTTTCCGAAACGTAAACAAAGATATTTCTAAGGACTAAATCAAATTTACTTCTCATCACTATCAACGTCATATTTAGTAAACATCACTGGTTTGTTTGTTTATTGTCTTTGTGGTTTTAACAGAATAATTAGCGTCGAACGACATGGATTTCTTGAAATGTACCCTTCGCCAGCTTTCGTATATATATATATATACAAATGTATAAAAACAAAGAATAAAATTATAACGTCCAAAACATTAATTTAAAATAAGGCTCAATACAAGAGTAGAGCAATAAATATTTATTGTACACTGTTACATGAGAACATGTAAGCAATTACTACAAAATTGTACATTTTGTTTCGACCTTTAAATAAAACGTCTCTACATGTAGTTAACAATGATACCACCATTAAAAACGTCAAAACAATATATATATATATATATATATATATATATATATATATATATATATATATATAGTCATTTCGTTTTTTGCTTTGAGAAAGTCCACATTGGACGAAACGCGTCAGCAATAACTACAGTTTTCCTATTTATATATTTCCTTCATATTTATAAATATTGTCTTTTCTTCAGGTTGAGAAATTTTCATATATATATATATATATATATATATATCGAATAATAACTCTAAATTCAAAACCTGCGGAAGGTTGTTTAGGGACCTTGTGGCACACAGTACACCAGGCTCTTCAAAATGTGTGGTTGGTTCTGCACAAAACCTTCAGCACTATAATCAAATCATATGTGCATATTGTCTGGCTGTCAGTTCCTAGGAACTGAGTGGCCCGACCCTTATACGTTTTAAAAAGAATTCCCAGTAGGCGCGGGTCAACAGCCCTCGTCGATCAACGGCGCGGAGAGTCCGCGATGTGAAAAGTGTATATAAATATAAATAAATATATATATGTATAATTATTTATATATTATATGCGCGGTACTTATTAGAAAGCGCTCAATATCAGAGATAAAGCTAACATATTTGGTTGGATAGATGTGAGTTTGTGAAAAGCGTGAAACCCAGGGTCACAAACTCACATCTATCCAACCAATATATATATATATATATATATATATATATATATATATATATATATATATATATATATATATAACCGCCTAAATGAGTTATGACTGATTGACTGTTTTTAACGGCATGTCAACCCATCTGGGGTTATTTTATGCCAAGAGGTAAATGCAAATGTATATTTTTTCACGGATTTTTCTCGATTTTGACAGTAAGTTGTCTGCAGTTCTTTGTTGCTAAATGGATTGGGAATCATTTTGAGGGAGACGTTTCTGGGGTAAGTTCGTGTTTACTGTTATATTTTGTGGTATAATTTTATTTATTCCAGGAAGGACAAAATGTCATCGATACTGACATTTTTTAACATATCTCTCATGTTATTTGCGTTGTTAAAGCGCTGTCTGATAAAAGCAAAATCACCACATTCTATTAGAATGTATTTGACAGCAGAGGGTGTTTGACATGCTATGCATTCTAGCTAGTTAGGTTGTTTAAGCAAAAAAGAGTCTGTTAGTTTTGCAGACTAATGACACTTCGTCTGAAGATTGAATTTAAGAGTGAAACTGGCAGCCACTATGCAGTGTTATTTCCTATGTTCATACTATCAACATCTATAAACCATCTCCGATATTAAGTACTCCCCACTAAAAATACAGATCATTTTAAACAATATATATATATATATATATATATATATATATATATATATATATATATATATATATATAGAATTATTATTTATTTTAGTGTATTAAAAAACAAAAATATGTTATAAATGCGTCTCATCGTGCGATATTAAGCATAATTGTAATTGTATAGCGATTTTTAAAATGTTTTTTTAATATCCTTAAATAAATAATATTTACCACTACACGAGACCTCCTTTAAATGAAATGTAACGTACAGTGGAATTATACTACATTTGTTCTCATTTTACCTGGAAATTATATATATATATATATATATATATATATATATATATATAATCAGTTCAGCCAAGCAAGGCGATAATACCAGTAAGACACTACAAGGGCTACTGGGAGTGAAAGAGAATGAAAAGATTTTAAAAGCAACCGGAAACGTACTCATAAACTGGAACAAAGACATATATATATATGTGTGTGTGTGTGTCTGTGTGTGTGATTTATATTGCTTTAAGGTATGCTGTATTCAAGGGTTAAAATGCTCAATATCAGGGATAGAGCGTATGTAAATATAAAAGTGGACATCATCGAAGTTAACACCCAACGGGTTTTTAGATAGATAGATAGATAGATAGATAGATAGATAGATAGATAGATAGATAGATAGATAGATAGATGGGTAATGCGCCAGTCCGTCTGTATTGTTGATTAAAATACTATATTTACACGTCTTATCATTTTTGTCACTCAGTCAGGGACGAACTCCCTGCACAACTGGTTAATATGGCGACCTTTGCTAATTATTACCATTTATTTGATTTGGATCAGTTTTGTTTCGTCTTCGTGCACGATAGGACATAAAATAAATCGACTTTGTTCCTTCTGATTCCAAGCCAGAACATTACCTCCCTATTGCTATGAAACAGGAGAGGTGAAGTACCCCTTAAGAATTTTTTAATGCTTGTCTCAAAGGCTAGGCTAACATTTTCTTTTTTTTTTCTTTGTCCAATTTAAATCAACCTTGTGGCTTATCATGGAGGTATATCTACTATCACTTTACGGTAGGCATCCTAAGTAGATATTTATTTTTATCATAGTTTGGCACAAGATATTGGGGCACTCATCTAAAAACCCAACTCAGACTGGTTTGCTTATGAATTGATTATATATATATATATATATATATATATATATATATATATATATATATATTAGTGGTCAATATATTTTTTCAAGAAGATAAAATCTAGGTAGAGCTCAATGAAAGCAAGAATATTAAAAACACTAATATGCCATGGTTATAATTTATTACATTGGAATCATAATAACGAGGTCTGATGAATTGGATCGTGATTACGATTCCAATGTAATAAATTATAACCATGATATAGCTTTTTTATATTATTTATTATACATATATAGAAGTCGAACGATTCATTCATTCATTTTATAAAAAAATAATATAGTTTTCAGGAATTTTCTCTCAATGCTATCTGTTGTCGCTAGTGAGAAGATAAAGCATACACGCAAACACATAAAAGTGAACGGCTCAAGTTGCTTTTGTTTACTGCATTGCTCACTCAACTGCAATATTTATGTATATAGCCAAATACGCCTTTTTACGGTCTGACAATTTTTTTACGGTTTGACAATTTTTTTTTTACGGTCTGGCTAAGTAGGCGCGAAATAAAATATGAATTTTCAATATATTACTATGTAATACGTATAAATTGACATCTCTAAGAAATATAAAATTCTTAATCTTACATATATATATATATATATATATATATATATATATATATATATATATATATATATATATATATATATATATATATATATATATGCGTAATGTCCGCTTGTCACTATCAGCTGTTAGAAGTTTATCGAAATGTTCAGATGAAAACAAAAGACAAGAAGACCGTTGACGAAATTTTCTTACAAGGGAGACAACTTCAACTATTCAAGTCGCCTAAAACAATAAAACAAATGATAAAGTCTGTCGTCAAAAATCGATAAATACATATGTAGGCAATATGGATTATAAGTAAGTAGTAACTGTTGACCGTGTATATGGTTAACAATGATTGAATTATAGTATTGAGAAAATATTGCTACGCAGCAAGGTCAGTAACGAAATTCCACCGAAAATTAACAAGAAAGGAAAAAAGCGAAGGGAAAAGAAAGTAATAGTAATCGTCGTTTGATATAATTATTCATACAATTCCACACATGTACAGTGCGTTAGTAGTGGATTTGTGTTGTTGGTAGTGGATTACCAACGAAATTAAATGGTTTTACTTCAATAATTTAAGTGACGCCGATGTTGATAAACATTGGTGAACATTAACTTAATGTGGATTTAAATGTTTAAATTATTTATTTAAAAATATGAGCTTGGTACTTTAATTCAATTTAATTCAAATAATTATATTCAAGTTTTCGGCTCTTGTTTTGAAACATGACAACTCTTATGTAGCGATGGAATCATATTTTTAAATAAATAATTATATTTAGGCTCTACTTTTGTATCGAGCACTGTTTTTTTAAAAATAATAACAAAAATAGTAAAGAACTTTGGATTATTTGCCTAACGAGATCTTTCCTATTTTCTATATATTTTCACACACACACACACACACACACACACACATATATATATATATATATATATATATATATATGGGGGGAATGTGAAAGATAAATTCCATATACTAGACCAAAGATGATGGATTGAATTAACATATATCTTTGTGTTTACCATATATATATATATATATATATATATATATATATATATATATATATATATATATTTCATTAAAGACGACAGGTAAGGTACTACGATTAAGCCTTTTATTTAATTTTTCTTGTGTTCGAACAAGTGCTTTCTTTTTTGGACACAGAGTGTGTAGAAACTGTCCAAATGTTTTATAATTCCGAGCGCTTTCGGCTATACTTTTACCCATTATCAAGGATGATTTTATTTCCGCTTTTTAATTGGTCGTATGGGTTGTGTATTTGTAAATATTGGCTTTTTTTACATGTCCGTGAACATTTCACGTGTAGTAACTAGTATATATATACACATACATACATACATACATAGAGACAGATTAGACATCGGAATGAACTCCGTAGTATGACAGTCAGTTTCATGCCTTAAGCATTCTCCAAATAAATGTCGTTTGTTATGAATGTTTAACGGATAATTGCAAGTATAATTGCGGGGGTCGTTCAAAAAGTTCTAAGCCTCACCCAGGAAGAGTCATCTTCTTTGTAGCAACATACTTCCATTTCTTATAAAACTCGAAAAACTAATTGAAATTTCTGTCCTAATTTCTGTGATGGTGAGACACATATCCTATGTAAGCAAAATCATTAACATAAGACAAATTTTAGTAAATAATTCCAATATCTTATATAGACCACAGTGCAAAGAAAGACTCCGAATTCTGGTGGATGTTGTAATAAAGGAGAAACATCCAACATTAAATGGGGTATCTTTCTCCATAGGGCACCGTCTATTGAATTGTGTTTAAAAAGAAACACACACACACACACACACACACAGACACACACACACACACACACACATATATTTATAAGCAGTAAATTCGACCTTGCCTACCGAACGCTCCTTTGTGGCCGAGACGGTTAAGGCACGTCAGCGTAAATGACGGTTCCGTATACGATGTAGGTTCGAATCCTGTCAAAGGACGAATATTTTCTATGAAAATTTCTCGGACATTCAGGCCGGTAAATGTTATTTAATACTGTTTATTATAAACAGAGCATTTACTTAAATACTTGTATCTATAAAAAAGAACGTTAAACATAAAAATGTCTTTAATAAATAAATTGTTTCTTAATATATATATATATATATATATGGAAATTGTATGACAAATTGGAAAAAGTTTACTTGTGACGCATTTCATCCTTTAGAACCTCATCGAAATAAATTTGTTATGTTGGTACGACTACGCATATGCATGAACGAGGTGTGCTGGGGATTTTAGAATTTTTTTTTACCGAATTCATTTAATCTTTTTATTTTTCTTTCCATTACTTTTGTTCGTAGGTATCTCATACTATGATAATATAAGATTTGCCAGAAGTGATAAAATATTACCAGTGCCAGGGCACAAATTTCCTGTAGATGACCTTGCGATCAAGGCACTTTCTATACATTTATGTAATAATGAATTGTTTTCTCCTCTGATCAGAGTAGCATTTTTATGTCAAAATTGTAATCAGTCTCGTTACACATTTGACGTATTGTTTTGTAAAATGGTGCCTTTTGTGTTCATATACTCTTTTATTTAGATTCCTTGAGTCTTTTCCCACGTATTTTTTGAAAGAGAAGACTGAGAATAAGGAGGATTGAGGAAAGCACAAAAAAAATGAATAGGCTTCAAGAAGATGGCGATTGACGTAGCAAGTAAATTTCTGAAAATTGTAGTTATCAGGGAAGCAAGGAAATGGAAGGGAGTTTCACAGCTGGGAAGTGCAAGAAAAGAAACTGTTGGAGTAGACGTGGCGGTTGTATTTAAATATTTAATCAGTAACAAATAAATCATTTATTTACATGTTTTGTTGAAAGATTGTCAGTGGGTAGGGTTACGAAGTTTGTGTTGTTGTTGTTGTTGTTGCTGCTGTTGTTAGAAATGCTATCGGCGATGTCTAATTTTTGGGATTTGTGTATTTTGTAATCTCGTTTCTTTATTTCATCCTCAACGCGAGAAACCGAGTTTACAATATCCACGATTTTTTTTTTCGTTAATCATCCAATAGATTGCTAATGATCAGCCGATAACCGGCGAATCTTTCATTACGTACTGAGAAATAATCAGAAAATTCATCTTATTTGTATAAGGACGCGGCAGTGTAATATTCGAGTTGTGCTCTGAACATTTTCTTTTTTAATCGTGTCGTTGGCTAAGTTACTTTCCCTGTCTTGGTCATTTAAATTCAGTCTACTGTTTATTAGTTTAGGTAGGTGTCTGTCTTAGTTTCGTATTTATTTTTTATTAGTTTCTTATTTATTTTTTCTTTTCTTATTTATTTTTTTAGTCGGTTTTTCTCTTGGTTTTTGATTTATTAGTTTTTACCTTCTTTTTTTTTTATTATTTTCTTCGGTTACCCGGCTGTCTTTGTGTTGGTTTTACCAATACTTTTTTTTTTTAATCGCTAGATCATCTTACTTATTATAAAACGCAGATTGCGTGTGTGCGTGTGTGTGTCCGTACGTTTATATATTGGATCGGATTTACTACATTTTTCAACCGATTTCAAGAAAACTTCACAGGACTACGTAAAATTACCTTGCGGTGGTTCTGACAGCGCCAAAAATTGGAAAACACACAATTGTTTTTGCACGAAAACACGATAAAACACGATTCTATCTCCAGAATGAAAGGGAGACAACTCATATCGAGTTATACTTATTATAAAACCCAGTTTGTGTGTGTGTGTGTGTGTGTGTGTGTGTGTGTGTGTGTGTGTGTGTGTGTGTGTGTGTGTTGCTTTATATATGGGATCGGATTTCCTACATTTTTCAACCGATTTCAACAAAACTTCACTTCTTTTCGCAGGTAGTGTTTCTTATTGTCTTGCACACTTTTTTCTTTATTTTTACATTCAGAATGCTTTAAAAATTTCATTTACAAGGCAATTGTTTATAATAAAATTCTATTCAATCGGTAGACTCATAACGATTGAAAACCATGTTTTTGTTTGAGTTTGGGTTTGACCAATTCGTAAAAAAAAACAAAAAAAAATAACAACTTAAGACATGCGTGTCC